GAAATATTCCGTGATAGATCACAAAGACTGTTAGGTTTGTCTCAGAAAGCATATATTAATAAAGTTTTAGAGAGATTCAGAGTGAAGAATTGTTCAGCATCTCCCATTTCAATACAGAAAGGAGACAAATTTAGTCTCATGCAATGTCCAAAGAATGACTTGGAACGGAAACAGATGGAAAATATCCCTTATGCATTTGTTGTTGGGAGTTTGATGTATGCTCAAACATGTACGAGGCCAAATATTAGCTTTGCAGGTGGTATGCTTGGTAGATACCAGAGTAATCCTGGACTGGATCATTGGAAGGCTGCAAAGAAAGTTTTAAGATACTTATAAGGAGCAAAGAATCACATGCTTACTTATAGGAAAGTTGATCACCTTGAGGTGATTGGATATACAGATTCAGATTTTGCTGGTTGTATGGATACACGAAAGTCTACATTTGGTTATGTGTATCTTTTAGCCGGAGGAGCGATTTCATGGAAAAGTGCGAAGCAGTCTGTCATTGTTGCATTCACCATGGAAGTTGAATTTGTGACATGCTTTGAGGCCACAGTTCAAGCTAATTGGTTGCAGAATTTTATTTCAGGACTTGGAGTAGTTGACAACATTGCCAAGCCGCTGAAAATTTATTGTGACAATTCCGCAGCAGTCTTCTTTTCTAAGAACGACAAGTATTCCAAATGTGCTAAGCATATGGAATTGAAATACTTTGTCGTTAAAGAAGAAGTTCAGAATCAGAGAGTGTCAATAGAACATATTAGCACTGATCTTATGATTGCTGATCCTTTAACAAAGGGATTACCACCCAAGTTGTTTGCTGGCCATATAGTAAATATGGGCATTATGTTCACTAGTAGTGAATGTTGAATGTTAATGTTATTATTAATGTTTATGTGACACTCTGAGATCTTTAATGTATAAGTTTCTGAAATTTGTGTTTTCTTCTTTATTTATATGCATGCAAATTATGATGAAGAAAACAAATTATATTATTATTTTTAAAATGATATTATGTTTGAACCCATTATGGACTTCTCATTATAAAGTCATATTAAGGAGAAAGAGATAATATAGCGGTACATGGAAGGGAGCCTGTCGATTGAATGACATGTAACTGTCATGACTCTTGTTATAGTTGTATCTTTAATTATGAATAATGATAAAACCAATTTATGTAAGGTCCTTTAATGTGCATTATGACTTAAGTATTAAATCACAGAATCATATGACATGACATGAGTCAAGTGGGAGAATGTTAGAATTAATTTAATTAATTCATTCCATTATGTGACTCATATGAAATATAATGATAAGTCCAAATATGATTTAATAAATTATAAGGACCTATTGGTTATTATGTGAAGTCAAAATAAAATAAAGATAAAATAAAATATTAACTTACGGTAACCAACTTGATGGACGTTGTTTAATAAAAAGGATTAGGGTTTTGTCTCTGATCATAAGGTTTTTTCACGGTAAACCATCAAGAAAGCGAAGCGTGAGAAGAAAAAGAAAGGCAAAGAGATATATTGGGAAAAGGAGATTGGAGAACGAAAAGATTAAAAAGAAAAGATTCTCATGGATCAAGGTTAGTCTTCTTACTATGATTCATGTATTGATGTATGTTAAATTGTGAAAATCAATAATCTAAAGATCCTGTAGAGTAGTTTTCTATAATGAATTAAGAACGTAGGAAAACTACAGAAAAACTTACATGACATCTTAATCTTTAGTTAATTGTTTGGTTTATGCGATGTTGGTATATTTTCTGTCCAAAATTAAATAATTTACTTAAAAGTTTAGGATATGATGTGTATAAAAGAAATTTTATTTTTTTAAAAGTTTTTTTTTTATTTTTAATGTCAATCTGATTTATTTGTTTTTCACTTATATCAATGTATTATGACCCTTCCATTAATGTAATTAAGTTGTTTAATAAAATAAAATGTGATGTGGCGTTGACATTAATGTTAATATATTACCAATATTATCAATAATGTTAGGTGTTATGTCACCAACCATAATTACATCAATATAGAAATATAATAATATTGATTTTCTTGAATTAACATAAAAAATAATAATTGAGATAAGATTGAAAAAGAAAAAAAAAAATTACGTAACCTTGACGTGTCCTTGAGTGTGTAATGCATCTGAAACTTCTTCTCTTCACGTGGTTAGATATTGTTGGATTGCTAAGGAACTAATTGGACCAAACTTCTCTGCCAAAACCTCACTTTGCTTTTTTTTTTTTTTTTTTTATCTCTTAATATCCATTCCAACCTAGGACCATAAGCCTTGATGTTCTAAATGCTTGATGTTAATCATGAATAAAGATAGTACAAATGATGTCTTAAGACATGACAAACATCACACACAAATCCTTTACACACCTTTGTTTTATTTTATTTTCGTTCACTATTTATTAGTACTTCACATTTTATTATAAGAAATATTTTAGACAAAATATTTTATATTTTTGTATATATTTTAGATTTTTTTTCTTAGTTATCTCAATATTTTGAATATTTATATATATTTTATATTAATAAATAATGAGAAATAAATTTTAGAAATAATTAACAGTAAATGGTTTATTTGATATATTAATAATATTTTAAAAAATTTCAACTAAATTAGTTATTTTAATGAATATTTTTTTGACCGCAGGATCAATAACTAGTAAAGACATCCATAATTTAAAGCTTTAATTGAGGTCAAATAAAATTTAATAAAATAATATTTTATAATATAATAATTTATTAATAAAATTTAAAATAATAATAATAATAAATTACTATCATAATAATTATAAAATAAAATAAAAAATATAAATATAAAATATAATAAATAATGAAAATTTAATAATCATCTAAAATAATTATTATTTAAATTTAATTTAATTCAATTAAAATAAAAAAGAAAAAAAATAAAAATATTATCTTTTATAAAATAACTATTTTTTCAAAAATTAAGAAAAAAAAACTATCTTTATTATTTTTTTAGTAGAATTGATTTGACAAAAATAATTCTATTAACTTTTCTGATTTTATACTATTTTTTCTAAATTTATATAAATTCCATCTAAATCTAGTTTTTAAAAAATAATAAACTAACTTATGATTCTGATCTAATTTTTGAAATACTGATTATATATATATATATATATATATATATATATATATATATATATATATATATATATATATAAACACGAGACAGTCTTTTAGATATTATAAACACTAATAAATATATTTTTTTACAAATAATGTTCAACACAATTTTTTTTTTCATTTTTTTCCGTTGGAAAATGACACTGATTTTTAAAATTTTCTCAATTTGCTAGTTGTAAAGAAATTTGACTTCTAATTTTACATAAATAAATTAAAGATTTGTAGCAATGTATTATTAATGCACACTTAAACAAGTATTTGATATTAATTATAATATAACATTCTATTTCGATAATAAAATCTAATACACAATTAATATTTGTATCTAATTAATTTTCGGCATTGGTATTTACTAAAATTTCTCGTACCACAAGTTCGACATAAATATATATATATATATATATATATATATATATATATATATATATATATATTCTTTTATACATGATATTTCATAAATATAGAACAAAATATTTATATGTGTTGAAAATATAAAATATTTAATAAAAAATAAAGTAAAAGAATATGATAAGCAACTTTACAAGAGTTAGTTAAAAGAAATTTTTTTATGTCATAATATTCAATTGTTGTATTAATTAGTTTCATCTATAGTTAATATTTCAATAACATTATAATTTATAAGATTGTACTTCAATCATGTGTGAGAATGAGAGCCTAGCAGCTATTATTGTTAAACAACAACAAATTAGAAAAAGTCTTGGTTGAATGTTGGCATCATCGAATATGACAGCCCAAATTTTTACATCACAATTCTTCAATTCAAAATCACACCTTTTGGTTTCAAATGAGAGGAAACCCAAGTAAGATTCAGCGGAGATTTGTCTCTAACAATTAACAATTTGGATGCCACAACCTTTGTCAATACCATGTTCAACCCTCAAATGATGTTTGCATATGTTTAAAATAGTTTTAAATTTTATATATAGGACTTATTAAGTTTACTCGTATCCTTCAATATTTTATCAACTCAATAATTGTTTGACTCATTGATTCTCAATTTGTGGCAAAGTGACAAAAACGAACAAGCCTTGTTGAAACCCTCATGAACACAAATGTATAAAGACATCACAGGACACCAATTATGTCTCTGCTTCCACATATGTCTTCTCTAAAATTTTATAGGAACTTGGATTTGATCTCTTATGTCAGTTTTTATCATGAAACAATTATACTGAGGAGATTTTATCTAAGTAATGGGTCATCATTCTGATATAGAGAAAAGAAATATCCGAGAGAAAGAAATATCAAATATCAATTGTTACATATCTTTCCCTTTCTAACAAAACATCTTATTTATAGGAGCGAATTTAAGGTTCCAATATGTTTTGCCATTTGAAACATGAATTTATTTTCTACATAAATACTGTTCTCATTGACTTAACATGATATATATATATATTCGTCTTTTTTGTTTGAAGTTTGAAGTGGCGTTCTTATCGTTTAAGTTTGGTAGCCACTGATAACTGCTATGTTTAATTTACTTACTTGATCAAATGAATGAATGCATGTAATATTCAACTTTTTTTTTTCATTGAGTTTGCTCTGTTCTTTTCAAAAAAGTTTCAGTTCAGTTCACTTACAAGCAATGTGTCTCCCTCCATCTCTTTCTATGGTGAGTTGTTGGTTTGTGTTTTCGTTGTTTGGGATAAAGCAAGAAAACTACTGGAATCTATCCACGCCATTAGGTTTTCCTCTGAATGCTTATTACGACAAAGAAGAATAATAAAGCAGTGTGACCCAAGAAAGTAGGGAAAATCAAATGTCAAATTGCATTGTCACGTACCTATAATAATTCACTAATCATCATATTGCTTCAAAAAGATCCTCAGTCTCTGTGCATTTCAAATGATCCATCACTTTGCAACTTACAGAATTATTCAATCCATTTCTTATTCTGCAAAATTCACGCCATTTTTCTATGCTATAAAGTATAAACTAATATATATATCAGTAATCTAAATTGATAAATTTAATTAAAATTAAGAATGGGTTAATCCTCTCTTTTGTCAGACTAGTTGTGCTTTTATCCACTTCCCTGTTTTATTTTTATTTGTCAAATTTGATAAATATTTTTATTAAGAATTCAAGTTTCACCTTTAATAAAAATAAAAAAGTTAAATCATTTATATTTAAGATTTTAGATTAAAAATAATATTATATTCTCTTATATAATTATTTATGTTTTATTTTTCAAATTTTTTTTTAAGATTTTGGATTGATTTATGTTTTATTTTTCAAAATAATTTTAAGATTTAGAATTAAAGACGGATTATATTTTTTATATAATTGATTTATGTCTTATTTTTCAGAATTTTATTTTTATTTTTCTCGATGTATTTTTTTTAAGTGAAAAAAATAGATAAATATACAAAACTAAATTGATTTATATGTTTTGAGAATCATCGGTTGATCATCAAAATATTAAAAAAATAGATTAAATTATAAGAAACTAAATTGATTTATATCCTTACAAAATAAAATTGGGAAAATATTTATGTATCAGTTTTTTTATCACTCTTAATAAACTTTTTTTTCTAAACATTGTTTAAAGTCAACTTTATATTTTGTATAAAAACCATAAAATTTATTTAAACAATAATGATAATAATAAATAATAAATAAAAATAGACTTATAATTATGAGTCTATTAGAAATAATACCTATTTCTATAACGACAAATTAAAGTTAATATTTATGATTGAGGAATCAAATTAATTTATAAATTTTGGTTGATTGCATTAACTTCCCCCTAATTTGGATTACATGTGATTGTGATTTTTCAAGCTTTTTCGAGTCAATTGAACTATCATATTAATTTTTAAAATTAACATATCCAATTTAATTCAAACCAAAACCTCAATTTCTCACTTTCTACTGAAAAATGTTCACAAATTAATTAAATCATTTAATTCTTATAAACCTCTTAAGGCTCAAATTTATCAAGCAGAACCTAAAATAAGAATATCTTGATTTTTCTCCTCTTCAAACCCCGGGCTTTAACACAAATCTTTAAAAATATAATTTTATTTACAATATATTTTTAGGTGTAATTTTTAATTTTTGTTTTCATTATTTTGTAAATTAAAAGTAATATTTTAATATTTTCATTAGTTATCAAGAAATTTGTATAAATATTTCTAATTTTTTTTAAGAAAAAACAGATAAATTTCTTTCATTCACCAAGATTGTTATATTTAGGTTGGTTTCTAAGAATTGTAGTTTCCCAGTTTAAGATTATTTTCTTAAATGGAACATCTAAAAAATAAATAAAAAGTAAAAAAGTAATTGTTTTCCATATAGGATGGAACACTTATCCTATGTTTGAAACATGTAAAAAGAAAAAAGAAAGAAGAAAGAATGTGAAGGAAAGGAAAGGAAAGAGGAAAAACACGTTTCATTCTCTTGTTTGGTTACCTAATAACATGGAGAAAAGGAATAAATTCTTGATAAACCCCTACTTTCTGCTTTCTATTCAATTTGAGAAGAAAAAGGGAAAATATTTCACAGGTCATTCACCATCACCTTTATACATTTTATTTCATCAATGTCATCCTTTTCTTCTTTAACCTTTTTATGAATAAACAACTACACACACAAAAATTATACCTTTTTTTTTTTTTTTCATTCTATCTAATCTCCTACTTTTTCCTTCCGAAATCATGATTAGTGTAATGTACAGCATCTCCAAATTCGAATTGAAGATTTATCCACAAAATTATCCACACAACTCTTACTCCAGAAGTCTATCCAAATATAAAATCAAAATTATAATTTGATTTGAGTTTTTGATTCGATCTCTTCTATGCTAGGCAGTGAGGATTGATTGGAAGTCACAGTAAACTGTGAGAAGGAATGGGTGAAGGAAGGAAGTTGGAAATAACCACAGAAAATTGAGGGGGAAGTGAAGGGATGTTGTGACAGGGAGAGTGAGAACATTTTGGAACCTTCGATGAATGCTAAGCTCTAATAATGATGTAGACTATGATCTATCTTATCACCATCTCCTTTTCTTTCATCCCTCGAACACATGTCATGCTTCCCTTCTTCTTCTCTCTCATTTCCTCACAACCTCTCTTCCGTACACCTCCGGTCCCCGCCACCTCTCTTCCACCACGATCACACACTCTCTTTCCCTTCCCTTGTCCTTTCAATTAACTCATGTGAGTGACAAGCTCTCAGCTTTAAAAAAAAAACTTTTTTGATTTCCCTTTTTCAGAAGGAATTGACTTTCCAAGAACTCAATGCTGTGGGCAATAGAAAGTGGCTACGTTTGCCGTGTCAATTTATATGTGACTCAACCACAAGGTATGGTATGGTGCGAGTGAGCATATCATATCAGGCCTAACACAACCCTTTCCTTCCCAGCAACTCAATCTTTTCTTTCTCCTTGTTTCACCATTTACATGGGAATAGTAAAGAAAGTACAACATACCCAAATAGGCATATAGGAGACCTAAACCTATAGCACCCTCAATCAATACAAGAATATACTTATACTACCACGCCACACAACCCGAGAAAATTTAAGTGCAAACTGCAATGCAGAGAGCAACAGTGCTAGCTGTAACTACTAAAGCCTATGAGGGTCCATAGTGGCCACCTATGAGTCTATGACCACCTAATTGGCCTAACACTTTTGAGTTTTCACTTTCGTTTTCTCAGCCTTCTCTCTAGTTCCGTGTACTAGTGCTGTTGTAAGTAACAGCTTCTTAAAACAACAACGCTTGTAACTTCTTGTGAGCAAGTAACCAGTTACCAATCAATGCCACTTTCTAGTCACAGAAAACACAGCAGAAAGTTGAGAATCAAATCAACCTTTGTCTTCATTCGGGGTCACGAAAATTGTTCTCTGTAAACGGAAACGGTTATTAAAAATCCTTGCTTTTTCTTCCGTGTCTGACATTAAGGTTGCACTACACCAATGTCACAGATCATAGGCGGGGATTACGAGGCGTGATATTAAGATAAGAAAGGAGAGGCATAGCATTAACAAACACTACATCGCCGCTCGTGCGCTTTGGCAATCTGCAAATCCCAAAATCCAGATCTCGAGGCATTTTCACTTGTTCATAACTGGTTGAAGAACATTTGCATCTCATAAGGGTTTTGGTGTGGATATGGCCATGATAGCTTGGGAAGCTGGCGATCATGTTGAATTTGGACATTGTTTGACTTGACAATAGCATGTAATGCTGGTATAGTCTCCACTTTGAACTAAGTTTGGACTTTGTTTCTGCTTTGTATTTGATGATTATGAATATTCTATAATCTGTAGTCTATTGGGGTGTGTGGAATTGTTATTTAGTATTCTTTCTGTGTTGGGAGGTTTTTGAACTTGCAAATAAACTATTGTCATTTACTCATTGGTGGTTAGTTGGTTCTTTGTACTTGGTCCATGGTTTTAACCAGTGACATTTAATATTCTACTGTATTTTGCATAATTGGGGAGAAAATTTTGGTCCCTTGTTTGGAATTCCCTTTTTTAAGGTCTTGAGAGGTAGTGAATTGATTGTTGGGAGAAGGGTTTGGACTTAAAGGTGAGATTTTCATGTGGAAGGTGGTTTGTTTCAAATCTAAGACTGAGATATGCTGGGCTCTGATGATGGAGATATTGATGTGTTCTTTGACTCAGTGGATAGTTTGTCAGCTCCAGATTCTGTTTTAGCCAAAGAAGAGTTTATTTCTGAAAGGTACGGTTGTGATTATGGTGAAATTTGGGTGAAGGAGCCTCTTAGTGTGAAGGAGAGAAGGGAACGTTTTCTGCAGAATTTGGGTTTAGACGATGCTTCTTCATCTAAGGTTTGTTATCAAGAAAAAATGAACTTTGATGACTCATCCATCAGTTTGGGATTTGAGAGGATCAGGGAGTGCAGTGGAGCAATTTCAAATGCTTCAATTTCGCATGCCGATCAAGTATCTGAGAATTTGGTTCTCTCTGGAGGTAAATCAGCTTCTGAAGCAAAAGTCTCATTGGATGAAGTGAAAGGGTGTCCCCAAGGTGAAGCAGATGCAAACTTTGAAAGAAAAGTGCATGACTTCACTTTTACAAATCAGGAGCACAGAGACGCTGATTCGCAAGAATTTCAGGAGTTTGACATGGGTAAAAGGAAAAGGAAAAACTGGTGGAAACGCTTTGTGGACATGAGGAAATGTGGTGAAGGAAATGTTAAATCAAAATTGAATGCAGGGGCAAATAAAACTCGAAGAATAAAGGTAAGGCAGAATAAAAAGAGGTGGCTAGAGTTCAGTGGCCTATACATTGGACAAGAGGTTAGAGCACACAAAGGTCTAATATGGACCATTAAATTTAGTCCCTGTGGTCAGTATTTAGCGAGTGGAGGTGAAGATGGTGTTGTTCGCACATGGCGTGTTACATCACTGGATAAATCCAGTATTTGTTACACCTCAAAAGATAGCACTTCTAATAGCAAAGTGGAGTGTGAAAACTCTTCTCCTAACAAGAAACACTCATGCCAACCCTTTATTTTCCTTCCAAATAGTATTTTTCAAATCGAGGAATCACCACTGCAAGAATTCTTTGGTCATTCCAGTGACGTCTTGGATTTGGCTTGGTCTAATTCAGATGTGAGTTTATAGCAGAAGCTTGTTACCCTCTAATCATGCAATATGCTCTATTTGTTCTGCTTACAATTTTAATTTTCCTTACAGCTGATAAAATTTCTTGTTGCAGATTCTCCTTTCATCTTCTATGGATAAAACTGTTCGCTTGTGGCAAATTGGTTGTAATCAATGTCTAAGTGTTTTCCATCACAATGACTATGGTATGTATAAGAGCACCACGCCTTTTGGCCTGTGTTTTTGACAACCATAATTTAATTTGTTAATATTATATTTAAAGCACATAGTTTGTTTATCTTCATAATCATAATTCGAAACATTACCATGTCTTCATCCCATGAATGTATTATAATCGTGTCTTTACTTTTAATGAAAGCAGTGACATGCATTCAGTTCAACCCTGTTGATGAAAATTGCTTCATTAGTGGGTCCATTGATGGTAAAGTTCGAATATGGGGGATACGTGAAGAGCGAGTCATTGACTGGGCAGATATACGAGATGTCATAAGCGCTATAAGTTACCAGCAAGATGGGAAAGTATGTCATGAGTTCTTGACTGAATCTTTTCTAAACTTTGGGTCTTCTTACATATTTTAACAATGGAAATTCATGTCTATGATGAACCATTGACGATTTACATATGCAGGGATTTGTAGTTGGTTCTGTTACAGGCACTTGTCGTTTTTATGTTGCTTCAGGTATGTACCTTTTGGGTTACCAAAACCAATTACTGTAGTTATGAAGCCCCTTGCAAAAGATAAATTAGAAAGGAAGGACTGTCTAAATTGGATTTCTAATGATTTAGGAAAATATTTCCAGCTTGAGGCGCAGATAGATGTACATGGTAAGAAGAAAGCATCAGGCAACAAGATTACTGGCATTCAGGTTTCATTCTATTAATTCTTAACTACTAAGATGTTATACTTTATTCTTCATTTATTTACATTATATCATCCTTGTTCCTTTGCAGTTCTCCCAAAAAAATGTTCAGAGAATTATGATCACAACAGAAGATTCCAAAATTCATATTTATGATGGCATTGAGCTTGTTCAGAAATACAAAGGTACAGACAGCATTTAGTGTTATTCATTATTGGGATAATAATAGTATTGATTAAGAATTCTTCAGTGGTTGTTTTCCACCACCTAAACAATATGTGTGTTTGCATTTGCTTATAATTTCTCTCGTGTTGGGATGCTGATCATCTCTGAAATTTTAAATTGTTATCTCAATTTAAATCATATAGTTGGCTATATTCTTTGTTGTGTCTGTTATCTTGGAATCATGAAAAGCTTAAATAACTTAAAAAGAACTTATGATAACTACCTAGGCTAGGTGTAACATTTTCTTTGAGCTCAATAGTGATTCTTTGGTTTTTTTAAAGGTCAGCCTCTGTAACCTTGTTAATGTCTGTTTCATTTTCTGGACTTCTTAAAGGTTTAGACACTCAACGTTGAAGTTATATTTCCCATTCCTCTCTATACTAAGTAACTATCGAAAAAGAAACTAAAAAATAAATAAGTTAAAATCAACTATAGAAAGCTTTCTCATCTAATTTCCCTAAAACAAGTTATTTTTAACTTTAGAAGAAGATTGATTCATTTTGCCTTTTATTTTACTCTGTTATAAGTTCTTATTAGGAAGTTTATCTAAACATGAACTCAATCATGTTAATATTGCAGTTTCTAGCACATTAAAGTGGAACAACTTCAGTACATTCATTCTAATATGCAGCAGCAGACCCAATGACTTTTAATTATTATATCATTGTTATGGACATTGTGTGTTGGATTATATGCTTTCCTTATCTAATCTTGGACTTTATTACTTTCACTAATTTGTTACTTCTATATAACGTATTGGCATATTGATAAATTCAAGACAGTATATGTTTAGTGCTTGGTTTGCATTAAAAATTCTAAGCCACTTAGTCTTACAACTTGTCACAGGTCTTCCAAAGTCTGGAAGTCAAATGTCTGGTTCATTTACATCAAGTGGAAAACATATAATTTCAGTTGGAGAGGACTCCCATGTTTACATTTGGAACTTGGATGACTTGGAAAACCCTTCTTCTAGACACACAAAATCTGAACGCTCCTGTGAGTACTTCTTTTCCAAGGGTGTTACTGTTGCAGTACCTTGGTCAGGTGTGAAAGTAGATCAAAGGGATTCTAGCAGTAACTTTTCCCACCATTCTTCAGAAATGCAAACCCAATTAGATCTTGCTCCTGGGATTAGAGATTCAGAACGTTTTTCTCTTGGAAACTGGTTTGCCATTGATGGCACATGCCGAGGTTCTATGACTTGGCCTGAGGAGAAACTTCCTAGCTGGGATTTACCTATAGCGGAAGATGAATATGATCAGCACCAGTTATGTCACAAAGATAGACTTGTATCAGAAACATGGGGGCTATCAATTGTGGTGGCTGGTTGTGATGGAACTATGAAGACATTCCACAACTTTGGGTTGCCCATTAGGCTTTAAGACAATGTCATGACCATGTTGGTGTTGAATAACAATGTAACCTACTCCTAGTGAGGATCATTGGTTCACCTTGATGCCTTCCATGCATGAGAACTTTTGCTACTTACCCAGTAAGGCTTTGCTTGGTAAAGGTGGAAATTTACAAAGGCTTTTAATGCCTGAGAATTCAACATAAGTGGCTAAAGATATGTTTGGATTAAAGTTTCGAAAGTAATTTTACAAATTCCCAACACACTAAATAAAGAAGGAAAAATATTATTGTTTTGGAGGTAAGATAGTTTTGAACTTCTCCAACTTTAATCCAAACATTCACTGCCTTGGAAGACATAATTTTAAGTTTGTTTTAATGGTCATTATCTCTACCTACTTATAGGATGATTAATGCTGAAACAAATGCTGAATATCAAGGCTCTTGACATGTACCTAACTCTTGAGATGTACCTCTAATTTAATGTGATTTTGGTGAATCATGCCACAGGTCACACAACAATCCTAATCTCTTCTTCACACTCCCCCATTGTCATTAGATGATTTATTCTGCATGTACAAGTTTAAAAATGCAAATTAAACTTTATTCCATTATGCTCTCATATTACTTTCTAAACTTATGTTTTATATATATATATATATATATATGTGTGTGTGTGTGATATTCATATTAGGAGGCATACAATTGTTTTTATAGTATAATTATTTATATACTTTTATTTAATATTATATATTTATTAACAAATAACATCTATTATATATACTTATTAGATTGAAATATATAATTTTTTTTAAAGATAGGTTCATGGGTGGGATGTAACCTACTTACACATCTTTAAATTTCTTTTTTTTACTATCTTTTTAAAGTTATATAACTTTAAAAAAATATCTTTAATTTTCACTCCATCAAATAATTAAACATTACTTCTTTTTCAACTTTTTTTTTATATTTTCATTCTTCCATTCACAGTATAAAAAAATTAAAATAATTCACTTAACTTCGTTATATAAATAAGAATTTGAAGTTCCTCTACTCAAACAAATATCTCAAAAATAAGTTTGTCATACTAATAAAATACAAGTAGATTTTAAAACAGACATGCTAAAAAAATTAGTTATTCTTAATTTTTTTTTCAGGGAAAGTTTTCTTAATTCACACACAAATTTTAAAAGAAATCTTATTGTGAATTATTTTCAACAATATATCATATAAATAAAACCGGTAGAGAACAAATGAAATTCAAGAATAAATATAAATCTTAAAGAAGTAGAGCTTATATTAAAAAAAATATATATATATATATATATATATATATATATATATTAATGTAAAATAAAAAAATTCAAAAACTGAAAACTGTGATGCACATTCCTAGAAAGTTTACTTTGTATAAATTTAAAGAGAATATTTGATCAATGGGGAATTCTGGATAATCAATTTTATAAATAATATATTTTTAAAAAATATTTAAAATATTTTAAAATTTATTTATTTAATTAGACCTGTTTATATATAAAATTTAATAAGAAAAATGAATTTATTTGATATAAAATTTATTTTCTTTCTTTTTTTCTCTATTTTTTGTTTTTCTCTTATTTTATTATTATTTTAAATTAAAAATAATAAATTAAAATTTGGCAAAGTAAATATTTTATTATTTTTAAAAATAAAATATTATACTATAATATATTATATTTAAATAACTATTATATAATAAATTTGAGATATTACAAATATTATTATATGTTATAATTATTAAGAAAAAATAACTATTTATTTTAAAATAATTTTTAAATAAATATTTTAAAAAAATCTTAATTAATTAATTATTACATTTCAATTTAATTATAATTTGAAGTAAAAAATTTATTTAACTCATAAATATTTGATATTTTTTAATTAAATGAGTAATTATTTATTATTATAAAATAATTTTAAATTAATTATTTACATGATTATAAATAAAATTATTTATTATCATTATAATTTTAATTTTAAGGTTAATTTATAAATATTTATTTTAATATATTTTATTAAATTTTTAATATAATAGTTTAATTTAAGAGAGATGAAAAAATATAAAAAAAGAAAATTTATATATGAATAATAAAAAAATTATTTAAATTAATTAATTAATAAGAATTTTATTTAAATAATTATTTTAAAATATATTATTTATAAGATTGATTATTTTGTTTATATGTATGAAATTTGTTGAATCCTCCTCGTTTTTTCTACGCTTTTTTTTTTTCAACAAATCTGAGTAATATATTATACAGAAAAATTGTAAGAAAAATACAAAATTCACAAAAGAAGTGTGCATAACAAATACATATGAAGTTAAAACTCAAAGAAAGTGATGACATAAAAAACATTAAGGTTAAAAAATGAATAAATATTTTATAATAAAATGTAATTAATGTATGAAATGGTGAAGGTATAACTTAAAAAAAAAAAAGTTTTTATATGAAAATTAACAATAAATTAGTTAAGGTAATAATCCCGTTTAAGATGTTTGGCTTTGTTTTGTCTGGTAAGGAGATGTCTTCAACACGGAATTATTGTGCGTTAGATATTTGGACAGGGAAATTGTCTTTTAAATATAAAATAAATAAATATTTGGACAGGGAAATTATCTTAAATATAAATAAATAAATATATTAATTATCGTGAGAGATGAAATTGAAGATGTAAAAGGAAAATCAAAATTATCTTGAGCGGCAACTAAAACCTCTGGAAGTGAGGGTTTGGTGGCAGCCATAGCATCGAGCCAAGCTCCCCAATGGCACACTCCACTTCTCTCTTCTCTTTCTCTCTTTCTTCTTCTTCTCCTCTTCATTCATCTTCTCCACTATGTCTTTCAAAACCCCTCTCCCCTTCCTTCATTTCTACACTCCACAATTCAACCTCTCGCGCCAATTTCGCTGTTCGCTCCTCCTACTCCGAAATGGGCTCTTCCCCTGAGCCAATCAAATTCAGGTTTATTTCTTTTCTTCTGTTTTGGGCTCCCCAATAAGCTGTTTGTATAATTACATCTGTGGAACTAAGATGATAATTGTTATGGTTGAAAAAATTAATTTGTTGGCAGGAAGCCCGAGATTCCGTCCAGAGCTCACTTGGAACTTTCAATGAATGAAAATAACACGCCATCGTATAAATGGCGAAGGGTTTTGCTCAAAGTCAGCGGAGAAGCACTTGCAGGAGACCACACTCAGAACATTGACCCAAAGGTTGTATATTTGCCCTCTTGTTTTCAAAGCAGTGGCACTCTGTTGAATTCTTCTTTATATATCATAATAACTCTTCCTCTTGTTTTTCTTTTATTTTAACGTGCGTTATTGCCTTAATTATTTATAATTTGTTTTGTAATTGTTAATTAAAAATTTAGATGGAAGCTAATGGATTGACTTAGTGGTTAAACATTATGCGTTCACACGTTGTAGGGACGATTCATGTAGGAGGGATCCCCTATTTGATCTTCATTGTATGCAAAAGCTCGCTTGATCAGCTATCACGAGCGGAGGATTAGATAATATTCCAGTAGGATGGGGTAAACTCATGACAGGATAAAGAGCAATAACATGTTTAGATAGATATATAGGTGGTAACAGGTCTTTAGTCTGGCTTCATTACTTAAAAGGGTCATATTGGGGAAATGAGAAGAGAAGTTTATAAGAGACGAATGCCAATGGACACTTCCTGAAAAAAAAAAAATTGAAACATTTTCCTATATCATTTTGTTCTCAGCATTGTTTTTGAATTTATTTTTTGTGATTGGATACAGATAACCATGGCCATTGCAAGGGAAGTGGCAGCAGTGACTCGGCTTGGCATTGAGGTGACTACAATGTATTCCTTTTAGACCAATACATTTCTGTTTCTTTTGATGTAGTTTTTCAGCTGCGTCCTCACAATTTATAGATCATTTGGCCAATTGAGTGTGTGAAAATTTGCAGTGGTTTTGGGGGATTGTTGTTATTCATTAAGGATGTGTTTTAAAAAATAATCTTGCGAAAGTGTTACATGGATCTATTTTGTATTTGACAGTGATATTGGGAGAGTTTATGATACCACAGCAAGTTAGAGCATTTGACTTGAAGTTATTCAAAGCATTTTTACTGGTTTTCAGACTTTGGTGTTATATGTTTCAGGTTGCACTAGTAGTTGGTGGGGGTAACATCTTCCGTGGATCCTCCTGGGCCGGAAGTAGTGGACTAGACCGCTCATCTGCTGATTATATTGGGTGATTTCCTCAATCTTTCTCAAGCATCTACCTTAGATCTTCTATCAGAACTCTGTGCGTCCTTACAAAAGTCTGTTAATTTTATCTCATAGATTAAGTCAGAGCTCTTCTGTGCTTTTTGTTCACTTACATTTCCAATTTCTGATGATCCACTGTCCTTTGGTTTGCTAAAAATGTATAATATGCTAGAAGTAATACCCGGCCTTTTGCTAATTTGATTTAATTTATCCTCTAGGATGTTGGCCACTGTCATGAATGCTATATTTCTTCAAGCAACAATGGAGAGTATTGGCATTCCTACCCGGGTGCAGACTGCATTTCGAATGTCTGAGGTTGCAGAACCATATATACGCAGAAGGGCTGTGCGGCATTTGGAAAAAGGAAGGGTTGTTATTTTTGCTGCTGGAACTGGAAATCCATTCTTTACCACGGACACTGCTGCAGCACTCCGATGTGCAGAGAGTATGTTACAGTTTTATTTTGTGATCTAGACCTAGCATACCACACTAAGTCCTATCTGTTTATTGTTGATGGCTTTGTTTATATTGTTATCTGTATCACTTCTTGGCCAGGGATGCAGATTTTTAAATCAATTTCTACCTGTTAGTGCCAAATTTGTTTTCACTTCACTATACGAGGTGAAGTATTGTAGTGCCTACTTAACTTTATTCGATCATTTATTCAGTTAATGCAGAGGTTGTACTAAAAGCGACAAACGTTGATGGAGTCTATGACGACGACCCAAAGCGTAATCCACAAGCACGTCTTCATGACACACTAACGTATCAGGAGGTAACTTCAAAAGATCTGTCAGTGATGGACATGACTGCCATAACTTTATGCCAGGAGAATAATATTCCAGGTAAAGTCATGCCGATAAACATTTATATTAACTATTTAAGTTTAATTATCGCCTTACCCTATAAAAACTGAAGTGACTCACCTTGATAAGCTGTCTCTGTCCTTCCCTTATGGTGCAGTTGTTGTTTTCAATCTAAACAAACCTGGCAACATAGAGAAAGCTATTAAAGGGGAAAGAGTTGGCACTTTGATTGGGGCACACTGGAGTTCTACCGTATACGAACATGAAAATATTTGAAGTCTAATTACCTATTGATTCTTTCTTATGTTTTTCCCTATACAACGTTCCTGGTGAGATGCCAAAAATGTTAAGTGCAATAGGTCTAGATGGACTTTTGAAGGGTGCTGTTGAGTCATAAATTTGTAAATATAGCAAGTATTAGACGTTTCTGTCCAGGTTTGGCCTGATTTTACTCTGCCATCTTGTGGAATTTTCACTCCTCAACTTTGCTTCGGTCTTTCATTTTGTAATATTGTTTAACATTCACAAAGTACATCTCATTGGATCAAAACAAACGAACACGTTCTCTGAGATGTGATTAAGACGAATAGGAACTCGGATGATTACTGATATCTGTCACCCTCTTTACATTTAGGTAAGCACAAAAATATTTGACTAAAGACCCTTCGGGCTGAACTGAAAACCATTATTTTGTAAACAAAATCAGAAAATACTCCTAAACAAAATCAAGACATAAAAATTATGTAATTTTATAAACTTTATTTTGTTTTTAAAAATTATCTATTTTAATTCTTACAAATATATCGTTTTAATATTTTAGTCCTAATATATATATATATATATATATATATAAGTTGTTTATCCTTATAAGTGGGATTTTGTGTGACATTTTATTTATAAATAATTTTGTGTGACACTCAGATTATATAAATCTAATTTCCATTAAATAATTTCAATTTAAATATGTAAAATTTTCATGTAAACTTTTTTTTTTTTAATAGGGTCAGGAACAAAATTTGTTGTTCTAATTTCTAACTTTTATTTTCTATATTAAAATAATTGTTTTATGTTATTGTTCTCGAGTTATTGTTTTCTTTAATATTTATAGGTTTATATATATATATATATATATATATATATATATATATAAAGGATATTTTTATTTAATTTTTATGTGGTGTTATTTAATTTATTTTGTTTTTAAATATTTTTATTTAACCATAATACTACAGTGATACAATGTTGACAATATGATCTACAAATTTATTTTTAATGAAATGTAACTATTAAAATTAATAAAAAAAAGTTAAAATAGAATTAATGGGGTGTTGGAACATGTGAGGTATTAGGAAATTCTTATTCAATATTTATGTAAAAATAATTTAACTTGATATATATATATATATATATATATATATATATATATATAAATTATAGTGAAAAAAGATGTAATTTTAATATTATACATAGATAATACATGAAATGTGTAGAAAATTGTACAAACGCAATTTTGATTCTTCAAATAAATTGTGACATTATACTTCATTTTCATGGATAGGCTCAATAAATATGTTTTTTGTTGTTGTTGTGAGCTTGTGTTTTATTTTTTTATTCTTTAAATTATTATTTTTTACTATTTTTCAAATTATTTTTATTTATGTATTCTTTTTTTTTTCAAGATACAACTAAAACTTGCATTAGCATAAAAAATGCCTTATATTATCTTTTAAATAATATTATTCATTTTTTTATTAAATTAATATATAAATAATTATATTCAAAATTATTAGTTACAATAACATCCAGTGCATAATTATTTTCGAATCTCTAAGTTGCAAGTTAAATTTATTTTTGTTACAAATAACAAATTATTGAATACATGTTTCTTTATTAACAAAATAAATTATACAACAAATATATAATAATATAAAATAAATCTTTTACTGTATACTCAAATTGGATGTTATTACAAGAGGTTTCAGGCACAAGAACATTTATTAATAAAATTCTAAAAATAAATACATTTTGTACAAAAAATTGTATACTAAAAAAAAATAGATACATAGGATTGAGAGATTGCTGTGCTATTTCATATTTATACATGTATAACAAATAAAAATAGAAAGTAAGTATATATTAAATTTATGCAAACAAATAATTGATAAATAATTAAGTTTACCCTCTAATAAAAATAATCATATATATATATATATATAATTAATATTGTTTTAATTTATAATAATAATAATTGTTATTATATTATTATTACTATTCCTATATTGCTAAAATTTTTAAGTAATGTAGAAAAAATAAATAATTTATAATTAATATATATAATTATATTTATTCTTCCTAACATATTTTTAACATTATGTCATTTGCTACCTTAATATAATACTATACCACGACTTTCAAAACATGTATAATTTAATTTCAAATTCAAAGATAAATATATAGTTCTGTCTAGTTATTTTTTCATATTTAAGATGATTATAAATTTCACATTTTGTATTCTTCCATTACTTTAATAATAAAATGTAAATATTTTATTAAATTTGTTAATTTAATATCAACAACATATCATTCAATAGCTTATAATAGTTGTATGCATATAATATAAAATATATATATAATAAAAAAATTATATATCACATATTACTCTCATAATTAATATATATATATATATATATATATTATTTTTAATTTATTTTTTATTTTTTAATTAGAGGTATTAATTCTACAAAAAATCAGTTATTTATTTATTTATTTGAAACATATAGTTCATTCTTGGGAATAATTACATTAGTTATTTGAGTCATTTATTCATAGGAGTAAATGTAATGTTTTGTTTATATTTTACTTGAGTTAATAATGTTTGTTTCAACATAAAACTTAATTATAATTATTTTGTTTATCTTTACGCACAAGATTAAATGTAATATTATTTAATTCATTTCATATGCCATCTTGCATTTTGTTTGATCACTAAACATCTCATTAACCAAAACACAGTATCAAGTTCAATAAATATATACATTCCATTTTAATCAATCAAAATATACCAATTAAAAATATGTTTTTACCAAATCTAATTAGAACACAAACGTTAAGATAATATTTCAACTAAAATTTAATTTTTAATTATATATATATATATATATATTTAAATATTAATATTTCTTATATATATTATTTATACTTCAAATAAAAGTGCTTTAATATAATATAATACTCTAATTATTTATACAAATTTATTATAATAACAATTACCACCATAATAATATTAAATTTATTAATCATAATTAAATAATTATAAAAATAAAAAAGTATAATTATTAGTTGAAATAATATTTAAAATTGATAATTAACAATAACAGCTTATAAATAATTAATATTATTATTATAATTAAATAATTATAATATTAACCAAAATGAATTAGAATAACTATTATATTATTATTTAAAAACATTATTTTTATAATTACTTTATTGTAGTTAATATTATTTTATAATAAGAGTGAAGTGCTAAAAAGAAATATTAGTTACAATAAAGTCGTATTTTTATGACTTTAATTTAGTTTAAAAGAATGAAAATGAAATAATATACCTTTTTTTTCAAGTTTTATCTCATAATCTCAACAAATAAAAATTAATTATTTTAAATATTAACAAGAGGTTTATTAGATGATAAAGAAAATATAATAGATTAATAAATCATAAATTTATCACAAAAGTATAGGAAAAAAAATGTATATAAATTCTGTAATTTGTATTGTTTCTCGTTCTAAAATCAAGTTCAAAAAATTATATAGTCCTCTCATTTTTCTTACTGAATTTACTTTTGTTCGTGATTCCCTTCAATTTAAACAAATGCATACTTTTCTAACTAACATAATCATTTTTTTTTTGTAATTAGTTTAATAAGCAGTGAACAGAAGGAAGTACAGTCATATATATAAAGATCGCATTTTGATAGTTTTTCACATTTTGGCTTTTGGTCCTGTTCCTTAACTTATCTGTTTATAACTAAATTCTTTTATTAAAAAACATAAGACAGAATGTCAAACGAAATTCTTTTAAGCATCCATTGATCCTTCTTTGGTCCCAAAATAGGAAAAAAAAATTCCCCAACCTCCATTATTGAAAAATCTAAAATACAACTTTTTGGACCCAAATTTAAATTAAACAAATGGAGAAAAAAAAAAAATCCACGTAAACACACCCAAACAAAATAAAAATTTGTGACAAATAAAGTCAAGGTAAAATTCTGCTGAAGAACGTAACATTGGACCATTCAAATGACTTGAAACTTTGAATTGAAGATCCTCTCATTTTTATTTCTCCAGTGGAAAGTACAAACAATATCTACACACTACAAAACTTACGCCACGAAGGTCAGCGATCGTTGAATTTTCCACCGCCACTATTTCCCCTTCCACTTCCTAAACCCAATCAATAATCAAACCAAAAAAAAAAAAAAAAACCGAAATTTTGACCGGCAAAAAGAAAACCAAAAATGAAAATGAAAATTAGTCGAAGAGATTAAAGATGTCCGGCGACGGCAGCGGAGAAATCGCGGCGGCGGATAGCAGCCCCGACGGACTTGCGATGAAGCTGTTCGTTGACCAAAACGGGCTTAGGTCATTCCAAAACGACGTCTGCAGTTCCGAGAAAAACCCCGGCGATATCGGGGGCAGCGTCGCCGGCGACAATATTCCGGGGAACTGACCCACCTCCACTCCTTCCAACATCAACGTCACGTCCTCCTCTCCGACGTGAACTCTCTCCCTCTCTGACGGGCTCGTTCTCTCAATCGACGCAAGCCTTGCGGCCGGCGACACGTCGCCTGATCGGAGAGCGGGCTCGTCGCCGGCGGATGGTCCAGTGAGGCTCTGGACGACGTTCATGAAGTCGCTGACTGTGACGTGGAGGACTTTGGGAGACACGGTGTAGATGATCACCGGTTTTCGTTTCTCCGGCGGAGGTGGCGGCAGGTGCGCGGTGGGGGGCAGCGGCGGCTTGCGGGTCTTGTGGATGATATGGGAGTCTTTGTTGACTCTGAGCGACGGCGGACGAGTACCTTGCAGCGGGAGTTCTTTCTTCCCCGGCGGGGATGATGTTCCGCCGCCTCTGCCGGAGGGAAATTCCGGCAGGTTCATGGTGGAGGTTGTTGGTTGAGAGGAAAAGAAAATGGGCGTTATTAAAAAGACGGTGTGGCAATAACTGTTAATTTATTAGGAGAGGAAGAAAGGAGGAAAAGAGAGAGACGGTGGAGTTTGGACCAAATAAATATTTTTTTTATTTTATTACGAAGGAAATAGATGTGCATTTATTGACTACTAAATGTTAGATTGGTCAAACACATGTTCTTCTTGTGTTGACAAATGAAAAATTTCCTTAATTATTAAATTATTATTAACTTGTGTCTTATGGGCTTATGAAACGCGTCATCTTTATAAAAGTAGTTGTTTGACATGTTTTCTGCGTAAGCATTGTCATACCCACCAAACATTGTTTTTCCATATGTTAATGGTAGAGTTTCTATTTACTTACAGTATTTTTTATTTTTTTATTTTTTTTATTTTTTTTTTATCTTGGGTTTACTAGTACCTCGTAAGGAGGTGTTTGGTTTACCTTGTGGTTTGTGAAAAGATACCACTTTTGTTATTGTTCTTGGCGAGTGTGGATTCAAATCCAATTTTTGTGTCTAATATTTGGGTTGGAATGCAGTGGATGATGGAGACCTCCATAGAATGGAGGTTGTACATTCCCCAACTAGCTTGGTAGTTAGATTCATTCATGGAGATATTAATTGATTTGGCAAGTGAAGGTGGCATCACTGTGATGAGTTCAATGGAGCATATGCCTTCTTCATCATTCAATGTCCCCATAATTGCCATTTTGGATGGACCACTTTCTCCTCGATCAGAAGAGACAAACCTTTTTTTTCTTTCACAACTCGTAACTCAGAATTAATAGACTAGAGAACTTAAGTCACAAATATCTTACCAGATTAAACGCAAGACAAATTGGGTTCCATCCTAAGGAATAAAAAGTCGGTGTGCACAATACAACTTAGGCCCAAATTAATATTCGTCAGGCCCACATGAAATAGAAGAGTTGAACGGCCCAGCTGAGAAGAAAGAAACAATAGAAGCTAAGAACTAGAAGATGGAAGCGAGTAAATCTGATTTAAAATAAATTCAAATAAGTATTAAATAATTTTTTACAATTTTTTTATTATGTATTTTCATGTCAAATTTACTTCTTTACACGTTGGATTATATATAATATATTTTGAATATATAATAAATTCGTTACTGTTTAGTGTTAGGATAGTTTTATATTTGAATTCTTGGTAATGGTTTCAAATTTTTTATTAAACTCTTATTTTCTCAATTTTTTAAACTCTTCTTATTTTCAACATATTATTTCTGATATGTTACACGAACAAACATTTTTTTTTAAATCATCTAAAATTCGTAAGAAATTTAGCAATATGTTAAACTAAAACTTACTAAATTATAAAATACAAGAGAGGAGTAGAATGACAAATTTTAGTCTTGAGTGAATTTACGACTTTACTATTATCTTTTTTGTACGATGAATATATGATAAGGATTATATATTAACAATATTTTCTTGGCTGAAATGCCAAAAACCGTCCTAAACCATATAGTGCCAATAAAAAAAGTTGAAGTGGCGTGGACTAGGTTTCCTTCAAACGAAACATTTCTAGTTCAACTCTAATGTTGAAAGTATTATTAATAAAAAAATAGTTTAACATAACTTCCCCTTAATTAAATTTATTATCTTGAATAGAATTAATCAATATTAAAATGAGTCTCGGATAAAGAATCTGTGCGATTAAAAAAAACATGATGTATTAGCCAGTTGAGTAGTTCTAGAATACATTGAAAACACATAGTTGTGTCCTTTTCATGGTTATTAAACCGACTAATTAAGATGAGGATATTCGGACAGTATACCTTAGCAACATTTTTAACCGCTAGCAACTTTTTTTATTTTATTTTCAATGTTTTGGTTCCTTTCGTTTTATTTAATTTAATATATATTTACCTTATCAGTACTGGGTCTCATCTATGATCAGTCATCACACAGCTGCTGTTTCCACCGCCATTCCTTGTTATATATAATAAATACGAACCTCACACCAATTTCCACCACGCTCTATTCTTCTCTTTGACCAAGAGAAAAAACACAGAGATGGGAAGTTTGGAGGAAGATGAGTTGGTGCAAATGGTGCAAGATTTTATAGAATCCGAATCAACATCCCCCACAAGTTCCACTTCCTCAAATTGCCACACCTTAAACCACAGAACCCAATATTTTATTCTACAGGTACTGTTCCATGAGTCCTATGTTTTGTCCAACTTTGGCATGGTTTAAGGTTGTCTCTTATGTGTTTTCTCTATGTTGTTGTATTGTAATTGGTTTCAGGATATTCTGAGGAGTGAGGGTGATACAGCACCTGAGGCTAAGGTGTTGAAGTGTGTATTGAAGCACATGAGAGGTAGAAAGGGTGCAGAGAAAACAACAAGTCTCAGTAGATGGCTTGTTATGAGGATGAAAATGGATGGCCTTAATGCTTCTATATGCCACACGTCTTGGGCCACCTCTTTGGGTTGTCCTGCTGGTGGGTTTTTCTTTCTCTGCCTCTTCTCAACTACTAGTTAATTTTTTATTACCCCATATTCAAACTCAATCCTATACTTTGTCCGAATTTGGGCTCCATTTGCTACATATTTTACTGTGCTAAGGAGATAGATATCAAAATCAAAGCTAGAAATGATGGACCCTTTTGGTAGATCTTATGTTAAAATTTGAAAAAATTGTCCTTGGATGTCAAAAATTAACGTGGGGGCAATAGGCACTATGAACTATGAAGTGAAATATATCCTTTTTCGTTTGTGCAAACGTTAACAGGTGAATACGAGTATATTGAGGTGATACTAGAGGATGAGGATTATGCCAAACCTTTGAGGGTCATAGTAGATATAGATTTCAGGTCTCAATTTGAAGTTGCGAGGCCTACACAGCAGTACAAAGAGTTGACAGACTCGGTCCCAGTCATTTTTGTTGGGAGTGAGAACAAGCTCTGCAACATAATTTCCCTGCTATGTTCTGCTGCCAAACAGTGCCTTAGGGAGAAGGGTCTCCACGTGCCACCATGGAGAACGGCTTCATACATGCAAGCCAAGTGGCTCTCTGTGAATCGTAAAGACCCTAACCATTCAGGTGATGGAAGAGAAAGTTATGTGGCATCAAACGGTGATGTCATAGGTGATGAAGTACATGCTGATATTATTGGTAACTGGGTACCTCCATTGCTGAAGCCAAAGAAAAGGGATTTGGGTGGTGGATCTGGTTTGTCGAATCAATTATCTAACATGAGTGTAAATTATTGTTGCTAGCTAGAGGAGTCTCTTTATCCTCAGAACTACCCAATTTTGGTCGCAATTTTGAAGTTCTTTCTGCAGAACAAAGTATTTTTGTCTTGTACTTACGCCAGTGCCATAAAATAAAGACACAAACAGGCACTGCTTACGTGAAGATTAGTATACTTATTTTGTGAAAACGCAGTGCCTGTAATCCACTCGAGGTTATTTTTTTTTCTGCTTCGAAGGTATTGAAGTTGTAGAAAGGGACATGGGAAAAAAAATTATCGGAATCTATGTTATGTGAACCATGTACCTACATGAGAATCATGTGTTATGGGAAAAAATATCCTTGAGTTTGTTTCTAAGTAAATCCCGGAGTAATTTCCTTTTCGAACATGGAAATGTTAAAGAGACACAAGTTATATATTTTCGTATTTTAAATGTAAAACGTGGAATGTGTTATATGATTGATGTGGATAACGTTGGAAAGAAAAGACATGATTCCTCCTTCCTGCCCATTGGTCCACACTGCAAGCTTTTTTTTTTTTTTTTTTTTTTTTTTTTTACTTTTTAATATATTTTCTGTTTCTATCTTATATGAAATGTTTACTTCTGCGTAAAAACAAATTGAAATGGTTACTTTCATTAGCATATGCATAATTGTACTTAACATCTTCGTTTACGTTACTGTTATAGCCAGAAATCAAAGCGAAAAGTACTGTTTACGTAATAATTATATTGAAAATGTTTTTGCATGTTGGAACTAAAAATATTATATTGGCATTTTAAATTTGTCTTTGTAACTAAATTCAATAAGATCAACTTGGTGACGAAATTTGACTTATTTGCATAGCAATTTTGGTTTAATTCTTATCATCAATATGGTATACACACACAAAAATTCATAACTGGCACTTAAATCTATGAAATTGGGGTATATGGGTGAAAAGAAGAAAGAAATAGAAATAAATCAGAGGAAAAACAAAAATTATAAATATAGTTAGTGGGGTGATAAAAAAAAGTGGAATAAAAAAAAAACAATGAAAGATAAAGTTGTCGGGGTAAAAAAAACAGGTGAAAGTGTTCTTTATCAATAAAATAATAAAATGACTTTAGAATGTGCTATCAATTAGATACAATAAAATAGCTAAATATTGAAATTATTTTAGAAAATAATAATAATAATAATAACGATAAAAAATAATAATTATATATCATGATTTTTAGTTACAAATTAATTTTGCAATTATTATCTGTGAACAATAGTAATTATAATTTCGTCTAACAAAAATAACTTTTAGTGACATTTAAAAATAACAAATACTACTTTCAAAGAAAAATCTTGTAATGATGATCTATGTTAGAATGAACAAGATTAATTGTTTACGTATTTTAGGTTCATCGTTAGTTTAAGATTATTCTAATGAATGTTCTCTAATGGAAAATAAATTGATATTTAAGATCTTTCAAATTATTTAGAGTCCAATGTGATTGAGATGTGGTGAAAATTGGATAAATAAATAGTTATAAAAAGACCCTTTAATATTTAAATAAGTACAATTTTGCCCATAGGATTGATATACATTAATAATGTTGGTGATATTCTCTAACTTGAGGCCTAAAACCTGATAATAATAATAATAATAATGATATTTTTGTCTCAGTTCTGCATTAATATAAATAAATTGTTTATGTAATTTTTGGGAGTATCTAATTTGAATGATGACTCTAACACACATTTAACACATTTAGATTAAAGTATGTAGTGGCAGCATTAATGTGAGGTTCTAGCTTCCATTAATTAGTGTATGTTGTGAAGTGAATGTAGCTTTGTGATCCTAGGAATTACGTGCGTTGATGTAAGAAAACAACCTAGCACTAAAATACATAGAAGAAATAAAACATGGGATCTAGCCATCCTCAAATCTAGTTTGTTTTTATTGCTCAGAATCCACACAATTTGGTTCCTTTCACTGCATGTGATGTGAGGCTCAGCACTGTTTTTGTATATTCATTGTATTTTTGAGATTTTATGAACACACAAATAGAAAGAGAGAAAAATAAAGACATATTTATAAAACCGTATATACGGTTCCAAGAAATGCTATCCAAAAAAGTGACTAGACTGAATGATGAAGGTGTGGATGAGAGGGTAGGTTTTGGAAGGGAGAAAGAGATGAAAAAATTGAATGGGCACATTGAATAAGGTGAAACCAGTGGCAATGGGAAAAACATGTGGCAGGAAAACCATGGGAAACTTGGTGACGTATACGACAAACAAAAACATGTCTCTGTCTCTTTTCGTTTGAATCCAATCGTCCATCTTTGCTTACGATGACTCTGCATTTCTTTCCCTTTCATGGTTTCTTCGGTACACACGTATTGAAGTTCTAAATCTGAAATACCAAGACATCGTACCACATTGGCTATGTTTATCATCTATCTGCCTAACCCTTTCCTTTCTTTCTCCATTTCTATGTCAATTATTGAGGTAACTATACTTTCTTCACTATCTGCTATTTTTTTATATATACATTTATATTTTCACCTTTTTCAATCATTAAAAATTCTCACATAAAGTTATCTTTTGCTTTTGTTATCATAATAATCATCACTAAAAAATTATTTTAATATAAATCATTGCTAACATAATCACTGGTACTATAATGTCTTTGAATTTTTTATTAATAAAACATATACTAAAAAATTATTTTAATATAAATCATTTCTAACATAATCACTGGTACTATAATGTCTTTGAATTTTTTTATTAATAAAACATATATATTCATAAATAAAAAAAATAAATGAAATTAAATGTTTTATAGAACTATAAATGTCTTAAAAAAAGGTAGAGATTTATTTCTAAATAATGTCTTATATTAAAAGAAAATTTATTAGTCTTAGAATAAAGGTTACAACTTTACTTTTTTATCTTTATTATTATTTTTTTCTAATTTTAGATTACAAAGAGTAATGTTAAAATAAAAATAAAAACTATAACCTCTTAAAAAATATTATATATAATATGTTATCATGCTGTTAAATGAATGAATTAATTAAAAAAGTATAAATGATTAGTTTTTGACATTTTTTTCCTTGACTATAATATTTAAAGACTTTCATTAGTTACGATGAGTTTTTATCATATTTGTCAGGAACTAATAATCGCATGAATGCAAATAGATTTGATAGAAGAACTTTATATTATATATATATATATATATATATATATGAAAATTATTACTTTTAAAGGTAACTTAGACATGTTTAATTGATTATAGATATTTACACATGTTGGTTGAAAATAGAAGAACTGTAAGTTTATATAGTCATTTTTTTTCTTTTTCAATTGAAAATAAGTTAGTTTCCCATATCGTACTAATAACTTTTTATGATAAACATATTTAAAAAAAAGGTTAAGGAATTTTTATAAAACATTTTTAACTTTAAATGTCTGATAAATATCTATTTTACCAAACATAAAAATAGTTTTATATACCATCTCTCACGCGTGGCTTGGCTTCAAGAAGCCTGTGTAGAAAGCACGTACGAATACGAGTTAGTGTTTCTTTTTCCCTACCCACATCATAAAACTATTAAAATAATAGCAAAACTAGTAATAGAGGTAAGTAAGCCTTTATGGTGTTTGGATAATGTCAAATGATTCATATCGAAGAATCATGTGACTTTGTGCTGTCGTAGTGAAAATTTAATTACATTATGCAATAAAGATTATTTTTTATTTCGAATGTTTTAAAAAATATATAATTTATTTAACAATAATAATAATAATAATAATACATATAACAAACACTCAATAATTAATAATATCATTTTTTTTCAATCAGACCCTTATAAAAAGGTTAACATAGATACAACTCACGATTATAAGCTAACTCTTATGATAAGCATATGAATTAAATAACATAATTTTAAACTAAATGTCATTATTTTATGAAATTAATAATCTTCTTCAAATGTGCACATTATTTTAAATGCTAAATAAAGGGGAGTATGTGTATCACATACTAGTAAAGGAGAAAGCTTAAGTTCTTTATATTTATTTAGGACGTAAAAAAATTAAAAAATTAAAGCTTTTATTCAATTGTAAAAAGTGAAGCATAAGGTCACAAGTGTACCTTAGCATTGATATTAATTGATGCTTACCCGTGCCTAATTATTTATTAAATTGGGTTAGAGATCAACGTGTCTCTTTGAAATAATGAGTTAAGTTACGTCTTATAAGAAAAAAAAAATCTGTATTTTTTTTGCTTGGGTAAGATGTTTGTACTATTTTTTTGTCATGACCTAGGTTATTTACTATTCTAATTAATACCCTTAACAAAGTTGGTTAGTTTATTTAAAATATTCAGAGATATTCTTGTGTTAGTTTATTAATATCTATCTTTTTATTAATATTAATATCTTTTCTATTTATCTATATAATATATTCTATTAGTTTGTTAGTTGTTATTTTTCATTCGTTTTTACTTGATTTTTTATATATTCAAACGTTCAATCTCTTGTATTAAGTAGTTTCTTTTCTTCAATTATAATGAGGAGTTTTCTTTCAAATCTTTTGTAAAAAACTAACATGGTATCAGATTAAACTTTTGTATTGTTTGGCCATGACTACTTCTATCAATATCTCTAGTCAATCCTGTGCATCATCTTTTTCTCCATCCAGGTGAAAACTCTGCTCTTATTCTCGTTACTCCCTTACTCACGGATAACAACTATCAACAATGAAAGCATGACATGCTTGTGATTCTCGAAACCAAGACTAAAGAAAATTTTGTTCTTGGAACTCTTCCCTGTCTACCTCCTACTGATTTTTTACACGAAGTCTGGAACCACTATAACAAAATGGTTATTTCTTGGTTAACGAGGTCCATGACGTTATCCATCAAGCAATTTGTTATTTAGATGGATTATGCCTCCGACATTTGGAACTATCTACTTCAACATTTTTCTCATGGTGACAAATTTCATATTGTTGATATGCAAGAAGAACTTTAAAATTGCAAACA